CTCTTCTTTGTGTCTGTTTTCCTGAGCCTGGGTTTGTGCAGACTTAGTGGGGAGGGTCTTGAAGGCCACCTTGGGAGGGAGGAAATGAGAGGGAAGGAGAGGTTGCAGACTGAGAGAAGGAACAGAGACCCGTGTTCTGTACCCCAGGGAGGAGCAGGCTCCAGAGGGGGCCCCAGGCTGGTCAGGAAAGCCCTGAGGGTTGCTGGGGACAGAGTCTGAGCCTCACAGGCACCTAGGCCCATGAGAGTGAACAGGTCACAGAAGCTCCCCTCCCCTGGGTCATCCTCCCTGCATTTTCTGGGTAGCACCATCAGCTTCCTGGGTTCTGGGGTGGCCCTCACCAGGAGGGGACATAATAATGACTGAGTCAGGCAAGATGGGGGCCTGGAGCTGGAACTGAGTTGATTTAAGGAGCATTTCTTGCCCGCTTGGGTTGGTGGACAGATTCATGCTCTCCACATGAGCCTCTGCTGGTTCCCCTTTACAATACCGTTCCCTATAATAATATCAAACATTTGCACGGTGCCTTACGAAGTGCCTCCAAAATTGCTGGCCATTCAGTCTTTGCAACAGGCCCAAGATAATGCTCATTTAACAGATGAAAAAAAAAAAAAGCTCAGAAAATGGAAAGGACTTGCTCAAGTTCACAGAGGTAGTAAGAGAACCAGGACAAAATCCCAAGTCTCATGACTCCTAGACCAGTGCTCTTTATAATGCACCATTCCCCATCCCAAATGGCTCTTTGTACATAGTTGGCCTCCCCTCTTCCTGGCCGGCTCTCACCAGGAACCCTGTGGACTTGGGCTGGCATAGTTGCTCTGGCTCTCGAGGAGAGCACACCTTGCCATCACTGTCACCAGTTCCACGGCTCTAGACAGGGCTCCGAGGAGATACACGAGTGCAGGGGTCATCTGGCCAGGGCTCCTCTTCCACCTGCCTTAGTGACAGCTTCCCAGACACCTACCTGACACTTGAGTTGTACATCAGCTTGAATGGAAACTGAAGACCTATACTCTGACAAAAATCCCTATATATGATTGGGAAATAAAAAACAAAATACAACTGGCCACCAAAACTATGAAAAAAGATCTGTAAATTCACTAGCAATTAAATGCCTGAGAGGGGGACAGAGGGAAAATTACCAAATAGAAGACACGTGTTAATACTGATGAAGGGAAAGGCAATACACAATATGGAGGACATCAGCAAACATGTCCAAGGCAAGGGAGGATACTGAGAGGAATGCAAGAACAAAGGGCAACTACAATTATTACTATAGCATAGATAATCCTACAACAATAGTATCAACAAACAATAATTTACCAATGGATACATTGGTAGACAGATATGCCAAGAGGTGTGGGAGGGTGTAAGGGAACACACCTGCCTGCATATATAGGTTTGGTGTGGATATTTCCACATACATAACTGTAGGTGCTGCTTATATATTAATATAGACAATAGAGCACAGAAGGGCCATAGCCAGGGCAACTTCTTAGACATAACAAAACACCTCGTGGGACAAAGTTCTAGGCTCGAAGGCAAAGGACCATAGACTTGGGGGACATCTATGTCAGTTGCCACAACATAGTTCATAAAGACAAAGTTCAGCATCCTACGTGGTGTGTAGTGTCTGGGGTCTTAAAAGCTTGCAAGCAGCCTTCTAAGATACAACTATTGGTCTCTTCCTGTCTAGAGCAAAGGAGAGTGAAGAAAACCAAAAACTTAATGGAGCGATCAGTCCAAAGAACTAATGGACTATATGAACCACAGCCTACATGACTCCAAGACCAGAAGAACTAGATGGTGCCCAGCTACCACTACCAACAGCTCTGACTGGGATCACAACAGAGGGTCCCAAACAGAGTGGGAGAAAAATTGTAGAACAAAAAATCAAATTCATAAAAAGACCAGGCTTACTGGTCTGACAAGAGACTAGAGGAATCCCCGAGACTATGGTTCTAAAGTACCCTTCTGAACTGGAACTGAAGCCATTCCCGGAAACCACCTTTCAGGCAAACCATAGACAGGCCCATATAATAAACAATAACACCCAAGAGGGACATGTTCTTTAGAACAACAATTCTACAAGATCAAAAGGACAACATTTGCCCAAAAGCAAAGATGAGAAGGCAGGAAGGGGTAGAAAATCAGGATGAAAGAAAATGGGGAGAGTGCTGAAACATTGTGGGGAATGAAGCCAAGGCCATGGAACACCTCAAGTACAAACTATCGAATGGGAAACTAATTTGCTCTGTAAACTTTCACCTAATGCACAATAAAAACTAAAAAAAAAAAGAAGGAAATGCCTACTAAATTCACATTATTGTTGTTGCTGTGGCTATTATGCCTATTAAGTTGACGAAGTCTTTTTATCCCCTGTGCTATTGGTGGGAATATAAAACTTTCTAGACAACAACTTTTAGATATAAGTATATACACACATACATACACATACACACGTATATATATGATATATATGTTTATATAACACATGTAGGGGTGTGTGTGTATACTTTTTTAAGGCTTTTGAGATATAGATATATATAAAGCCTTAAAAATATTCACACTGTAAATATAATATGGTATCTTGGATTGGATCCTGGAATGGAAACAGACATTAGTGGAGAAACTGGTGAAATCTAAGTCAAGTCTAGAGTTTGGTTAATAGTATTGTACCAATGTTAATTTTTTTAGTTTTGACAAATGTACCCTGGTTAGGTAAGATGTTAGCATTAGACAAAACGGGTGAAGGGTATATGGGAACTCTCTGTACTATCTTTGCAACGATTCTGTAAATCTAAAATTATTTCAAAGTAAAAAGTTAATTTGAAAAATGTTCAAATTCTTTGACCAAGAATTTTACTTCTAAGATGTTATCTCAGCTTATCAGAAGTGCAGGTGGAGATTTGTGTACAAGGATGTTGTACCACTCGTAAGAACTGCAAAAATTTGGAAATAATCTACATTTCCAAGAACAGCAGGTTGATTGAATAAGTTATGATGCATCCAATGATGATATAATGTGGTCAAAAAAAATCACACTATAATAATATTTATTGACATGGAAAATGGTCACAATAGAAGGTAAAGTGAAAGAATTAGGACATAAAGCTATATAGTTTAAGCTTAGTACAATTTAAAAAAATATATACACAAGAAAGTCAAGAAGCAAACATACCAATATATTCAAACAGCTGTTAACGGATTGTAGAATTAAAGTGAATCTTGTTTTTTCTGAATGCATTTATATATAACTTTTTTACAATAAACATATGATATAATCAGGAAACCAAAAGCCTGTTGCCATCGAGTCGATTCCAACTTACAGTGGCCCTATAGGACAGAGGAGAATTGACCCATGGGATTTCCAAGGTTGTAATCTTTATGGAATCTTCTGCAGAGTGGCTGGTGGGTTTGAACTGCTGACCTTTTGGTTAGCAGCCAAGTGCTTAACCACTGTACCACCAGGCTCCTCTACCTTAGCTTAGGAGTGAAAACATATGTCCACACAAAAACTTGTACGTGGTGACCAACACCCAGATCCTGGAGGGCAGGGCCCTTGCCCAGATAGTTCCAAAGAGCAGAGGATTATTTTTAAGCCTTGAGAGCTAATGTAAATTGTTCTGCTGGGTTTTGGACTTGCTTGCTGCCTGTTATCCCTTCTTTCCCTCCAATTTCTCCCGTTTGTAATGGAAATGTCTACCTTGTGCCTGTTCCACCATTGTACTTTGGAAACAGATAACTTGTATTCTAGATTTCACAGGTTCACAGATGAAGAGGAATTTTGTCCCAGGATGGAATACACCTGAAATCTCACCCATATTTGATCTCGATGATTCAGAAGATGAGATTCTGGACTTGGATTTAAGACTTTTGGGATGATGTGATGGGGTGAATGTGTTTTGCATGTGACAAGGACATGAATTTTGGGGGGCCAAAGAGTGGAATGTTATGGATTCAATTGTGTCCCCCCAAAATATGTGTTATGAATCCTACCTCTATGCCTGTAGGTTATAATCCCATTTGGGAATGGGTTGTCTTTGTAATGTTAATGAGACAGGATTAGTATAGGGTGTGTCTTGAGTCAATCTCTTTGTGAGATAAAAAGAGATTAAACAAGCAAGCTAGCAAGCAGAGACGGGGGAAGAGAGATGCCAAGCCACATGAAGATCGCCCAGGAGCAGAAGTTCAGAAGACACAAGGACCTTCCTCCAGAGTCAACGTAGTGAGAAAGACTTCCCCTAGACTGGCACCTTGAATCTGGACTTGCAGCCTCCTAAACTGTGAGAAAATAAATTTGTGTTTGTTAAAGCCAAAAAAAAAACTTGTACGTGGATGTCCTTAACAGCGTGGTCCACAATAGTCAAAAGGTGGAAACAACCCAGTGTCCATTGACTAATGAATGGATAAACAGAATGTGGTATATCCATACAATGAAATATTATTTGGCAGTGAAAAAAATGAAGTTCTGATACATGCTACAACATGGATGAACCTTGAAAACATTATGCTAATTGACAGAAGCCAGAAATGAAGGCCACATATTGTATGATTCTATTTATATGAAATGTCCAGGAAAGACAAATCCATAGAGACAGAATGTAGACGAGTGCTTGCCAGAAGCTGAGGGGAGGGATGAGGAGTGACTGCTAATGGGTACAGGGTTTTTTGGGGGGGAGTGATAAAGTGTTCTGGAATTAGGCAGAGATGATGGTTGCATAACCTTGCGAATACACTAAAAACCACTGAATTGTACACTTTAAAAGTGTGACTTTCGTGGTTTGTGAATTTTTATATCTGAAAAAAAGAAAAAAAATTTCCCTATCCAAAAGTTACACTTCATCGCTTCTCAGAATTTTCCTTAAAAAAAAAAAAAAAATATTTTTCCTACTTTTCACATATGTAGGGGGGACATGGGGGGAGAGGGCACTGGGACTCTGAGAGGGGAGAGTGGAGAGGGGAGGACAAGGGCATAGAGGAAAAACACGCTGACTTACCAGTCCTGAGGAGGCGGACCTGCTTCTCACCCTCAGCAGGGCTGCGGCTGGCCCCCACGCAGTCAGAGGCCTCTGAAGTATGACCCCTCAGACCTGGGGGCCCTGTGAAGACATCCTCAGTGGAGGACATTGCTACCAATAGAATAGTGGGAACAGAAAGGGGGAGAGCAGAGCAAAAAGGGCTGGTCCCTCCCCTCACCCTGTGGGGGCTGCAGGAATCCTCAGGACCTGTGTTTTCAATTATTCTCGGTTGAGCCTCTAGTTCTACCGGCTGCCTAAGATCTCCCAGGAGCCTTTCAAAGAGCGTTTTTTCTGCAGCATTTGGCCAAGAATAAAAAGTAAAAAGAAGAGCCAGTTTTGAAAAAGTGAAAGTAGGAAGAAGCACGTGGAGATTAAACATTGGCCTAAGATTCTTCCCCATAGGGTGTACAGAACTTTGTAAAGAGTGGGTGAGCATTTGGGCCTGGGACTCTCAGGGAGGGACATGGAGGGGGCCAGAGGCCGGGGGGGGGGGGCAGATGGGCAATAGCCAGTGGCTCTGAGGAGAGGCAAGGCAGCCCTTTGAGCAAAGATGTCACCCTCCTACTCAGGGCTGGCTAGGCTGGGCCAGGATGGGAAGATTATGGGTTGAAATTATAATTGGTGGAGAAATTTAAAGAATAGGGGGCAGGGGGCCAGTAATTACACAGTTTTGCACATGACAGCTGACCTGGTGGGCCTAAATGACCACAGATGTAGGCATAGGGTGGGGGTAGCGGAGGATCCTCATGTATGGTGGGCAACGGTTCTGCCCAGCCAGCAACCTCCCCATCCCTTCTTCTGGAAACTGAGCCTCACTCTTCTGAGAGGCAACTGCCTCCCCGACTCCCAAATTCCACGTTGTCCTGGTGGGACTGTCAGCACAGAATCCGAACCAGACGACAAGACCATCTAGGGGGTTTGAACCTGGAGGTCACAGAGGAGGCTGGCACCACATCTGCCCAAAGTCACCCTTTCTGTTCCTGAAATTCCAGGCCATCCTTTTCAACCCTTTCTTCAATTCTGTGAGCTAGAAGTCTTCTAATCAATGCCTTTTTTTTTTTCTTTTTTTTTGCTTAAGTTAGCTAGACCCAGACTGATACAGCTTGTAAACCATGATGTCATGGTACTGATAATTTCCATTATTTGCTGAGTGACTACCATGTGCAAGAACAGGGCATGTCACATACATTAATCTATTTTCATTCCACAGATGCAGAAATTAGGACACAGAGAGATAAAAACCATGTCTAGAGTTCCACAATTAAAACAGATGGAAAGGGGATTCAGGTCCAGCTTGATCTGGTTCCCAAGCTTAGGCTCGCCCTTCTTTCCTTCCTTCCTTTTCCCTCCTTTCCTTCCTCTCTCCCTTCCTTCCTTCCTTCTTTCTTCCCTCTTTTCCTTCCTTTCTTCCTTCCTCCCTCCCTCCCTGTCTCCTTCCCTTCCTTCCTTCTCTTTCTTTTGGGTTTAGACCTCAAGGGAACAGAGCTGAGTTAGTTAGCCACACTCCTCAGTTCCTGGCACCTGATCACCATTGGTCCACGCAAAGTTGCTTTCTTGTTTTATCACCCAACTTCTTTACACCTCACCACGCCACCTTCCCATGACCCCATAATCACAGCTCACATGTGATGAAGTCTGGGTTTTCACTGACACATACTCCAGATATTTGGAGGAGTCAAGCCTTTGGGTTTCTTTGTTTTCTTGAGGATCAAAATCTACTTTGACCTGGGAAACTTTTCAAGGTGGTTCTCCAGCACTCTCATCAACTGGTCAACCTATTAGCCACTGTTATGGGCTCAGCTCTGGGCTGGGCTGAGATGTGGAATTGGTAAGAAAGGAAAAGACCCAGTCCCCACCCTCAAGAAGTTTAAAATACATCCACTTATTCAACAAATACATATGAGGCACTGATTTCATTGTGAGGACCAGGGATAGAAAGATGAATACAACAGTCTCTTCTCTCTTAGAGCTAAGAACGTAGTTGGGGAGAGGAAGACAATTAAGCAATTACAACCCATAAAGGAGGCATAGGAGAGCTCAGGCAGGACACAAAACCCAGCCTGGCCAGGATAGTAACATTAACCCCAGTAGTCACTGAAGAAACATAAATCTATATAAATACAATTGTTTCTGCTCATCTGCCTCGACATCATACAATAATGGTGGACAGATTTTTCACTGAATTTGGAGAGGCAGTTTGAGATGATCTGACTTAAAATGCAGACTATGTGGCATGTACTGAATTAGTTGTGAGGGGGTGCTTGGGGGACACCTTAAAGAAGTAAGCAGTCATCCTCAACTAATCCTGTGGAGATGAGGCCAAGCAGGGCCTGTGTGACTGTCGAATGGGAACAAGATGTCCCCACATGCAGACACCTTCACTGAAGCAAACAGAGTATCTAACATGAGTCCCAATCAAAAGATACAAGCTCGGAAGATTCTGACCTATAGACCGAACTCATAGCTGGCCTGCTTCCCATATGAGTAGCTCTACATGTGGCCCTGGATAAGCAACATTGGAGGATCATTTAGCAATTGGTCCTCCCGAGCACCCCACCTGCTCATCCTGTGAGAAGGCAGCAGGAAGCAGCTCCCTGCCCCAGATGGACACAGTGTACCCAGGACAGAATCTGCTCACCAGGGGCTGCTCACTGTTTTCTCCTTCTTCCTCCACCCACCACGTCTGAACAGCCAAGCTCCAGGATCCGCAGCAAACAGGGTGGCCTTTCCTCAGCCCCATACACCTTCCCTTCCTACTCCTCTGGGTCTCTAGACTCTTATCTTTGCCCTGAATGTACTTCTCCTTTCATGTAAAAAAAAAAAAAATCACACACACACACATATGCACACACACCTATACTGCTCAAAACCCTCCAGTGGCTCCTCACTGCCCTTGGGATAGAATCTCAAATCTTTTCCTCCAGGCCCTCCGGCCCCTGGAGTCCTGCGGCCCTGTCTCAGCTTCTCAGCTGCCATATGCGCCGGGGATTCCTCACCTCATGGCCTTGCCCACACTGCCTCCTCTGTCGAGAAGGCTCTTCCCTGCTCTTCCCCTGGTAAGCTCTGGCTTAGCCTGCAAGCTTCACCTTTAGCATCATTTCTGCAGGGAAGACTGCCCTCCTAGTCTACAGGGGCCCCCTTCCACCCTCTCTCACCAGACCCTATTGTTTCCCGTCACACTGTTTATCCCAATTTCTATAATCATCTGTCTCTGTGTGTGATCCTTTATTGCATGTCCATTCCCCATGCTGCAGTGCCAGCTTCTTGGGGGTCTCTGTTTTGGTCACACTAATTCCCCAGAGCCCAGTGCAAGGTATGACAGGCAGCAGTTTGTTTTCTAAATGCTCAAATGACACCCCTTTGGCTGTAGGGTGAAAATCTAAGGTCTTGGCACAAAGGCCTTTCACAATCCGACCTTTGCTTGCTCTCCTGCCTCACATCCCTCAAGACAGCCACCCCTAACTGCCCTGAGGACCCAGGGCTCCAACCAGACCAGGCTACTTGCTTTTCTTCAAATATAACCTGCTCTTTCTCATCTCCATACTTTTCCTATAAGCTTATCTCTCAGTCGAGAGTGGCAAACTCCTATTCATCCTTCAAGGCCCATTCTGGCATCCTTCTTGGATGTCCACTGCCTCCCTTCCACAGCAGGCTGTGTTCCTGCTTGTTTTCCAGCCTCTCTTCTTCATTAAACTCCGGGAGACACTCTTAATTCCTCTCTTCATTTCAAGTGTTGGTCCCAGCACACAGTAGGTGCTCAAAGCAAAGATCTTACATGCTGAACCGTTTCTGCTCAATTAAGGGAGGAAAATTCCAAAATTACGGTGAACCCCCAAACCGCAGGAACTACCTTCCTTGTAAAGCACTGAGCTCCTCCTCATGGGCATTGTTTCAGCAGAGGCTACAGGCCCTCTACTGCAGTGCTGTTCAGACTCTTTTGACTGTGATCCAATACACACATACATAAATGTTATTGTTAGGTGCCATTGAGCCGGTTCTGACTCACAGCAACCCTACATACATAAATATTACACTGGAAATGAAAGTTTCACAAAATGATAGTTACCCTTTTTCCCATGCAGCATGCCCTGGTACCCCAGTATTTTCTATTTGATTTCATTTTTCATAAATGCTGGTTTTGAATGGGTCGAGAGCCACAGTTTGAAAAGCACTACGGTAGAAGCAGATAATCTGGGTGGCGCAAACAGTTAAGCACTCAACTACAAGTCAAAAGGTTGGTGGTTCAAACCCACCCAGAGGCACCTCAAAAGACAGGCCTGGCGATCAGCTTCCGAAAGGTCACAGTCTTGAAAACGCTACAGAGCAGTTCTACTCTGCACACATGGAGTCGCCATGAGTCGGAATGGACTCCACGGCAACTAACTATAACAGTGGCAGTCAGGCTGTTAGACTGCCTGACCTCTCCAGGGCCTCCCACCTAAGATCCTACTTGCCATTATTTCTTCTTCAGTGCAGCTCTTGATACCAGTTGGTACCTCTAAGTAACTTATCCCATCAAAAGGGGGCATCTGCTGACTGGGTACCAGCTTCAGTAAGAGGGCTCCCAGGTACAGCTGCTTTGAGAGCCAAGTCCTCCTGTTCATTCATCCAACCAGTATTTATTGAGCACCTAGTATGTGCTAGGTGCTGTCCTATCTCTGGGGATACAGCCATGAGCAGGAGATGAAAAGCCCCTGCCACATGGCACTTACGTTCTGGAGACACAAACAAGAGAAGGGCTTATTCACAGAGGAGCGTTAAGTCTCCCACCTCAGAGCAGGGGCCACAGACTACACTGGGGTTCTGGAGAACAGACTAGGAGTTGTCAGAAATAAGAGGTCACACGCAGGTCTCCCCCACACTCCTTTTACCCAGAACAGTTCGCTTGTTTCTGTTTTCAATTTTGAGGATGTTGAAATGAAATTTCTTTTGAAAAAAGGACTCCACTGCTTAAAAGCATTTTTTTTTTTCTAAACCACTGTCTTCCTTCTCTAAAATGACCATGGTTGAGAGATGTTTCCATGAAGAGTGAGTGGCAAGGGTCCACTTTGCTTGCAGGAAGGGTCCACTCTGCAGAAGCGGTCCTCTGGGTGGGCAGGGCACTGAGGCTCAGAGGGATGGGTGTGAACACCCACTCCCAGAGCCCTCTGGCCGTCCCCTGGGCTGAGGTGGTCGGTCAGTTATCACATCTCTGGCTCCATGTCCTCTCGGAGGGCTGGGATCTTGGCTGAGTCACCTCTGGTCTTGCCCAGGGTAGGGTATGGAAACAGCACCTGATTCTGGCATTGGAAACCTTGGCTCCAGGTCCTGGCTCCTATGTCCTTTACAAGACACTTACTCTCCTGGCCTGTTATCTTAGCTG